GGGGGGGGGGGGCAGCGACTGTTTTCATCACAGGGCATGAGGCCTCGATTCTGTCAAAGAGCACAAAGGCAGCTAACGATGGTGAGGCCAGGCCACCACTGGGGGGCGCGGGGGGGACACCCGGCACTCCACAGTCTATCCCTGTTCCCGACAGCTCTTGTTACCCAATGGTGACCTCAAGGGTGCGGCGCGGTCTGAGTGGACAGAACCAGCACCTTCTGATGGACAGAGGCCTGAGGCTGACACCGTGCTGTCCCCAGGCCCCTCAGCAACCAAAGGACATAGAACCCATCATTTCCTCCGTCCCCTTTGAGATGCCCCCTGAGGACCAGGACGCAGGGCCGGGCTGCCTTGGGCACGTCCGGGCCTGCGCCCCCGGCCCGGTGACCACAGACAAGAACCCAGACAAGCACGACCCTGCCCAGCACAGGCAAGTGTGGCCCTGGGCGCTGCCGCTGCGCAGGACCCTTGAGGCCACCGCCAGGTGCTGCCCAGGCTCCTCTCGTCACCTCTTACAACGTAGTGGTCACCCAGATACCACACCTCGGCCGCAGTCCCTCTGGATGGGGGCCCCCGCTGCACTGCCCTCAGCCCCGATTCTCTTCGTGCCCTCAGACCACGCACAGCAGCTTACGACGGGCCGGCACGCAGGTGCTCGGGGCCCAGCGGCGGCTGCCGGCAACGCCGGGCAGGAATCCCGAAGGCCCGGCCGGGGCTGGCCCGCTACGACTGCCTCTCCCTCACGCCCACGGCTGCTAAGGAGACGACTGCCCTGCAGGACGTTCCCCAAATCATTTTTATTAGTTCCTAGAAAAGATTCAGGAGAGTTTCAGCTGACTGCCGTTTCAATGAAACCGCGCGGATGCGGTCCCTCCGGAAGAGAAAACAGTAATTTACCGGGATCTCGGGGTAAAAGCGGGCGGAGGAAGACTGCGCGCACGGGGTCTCCGCGCCCCGCCACCTCACGACGGGCTGGCCTGCGGCTGCCGGCGCTGGTCCACGCATGCGCACGGCGTCGGGTCGCCCACCTCCCCAGCAGCTCCGCCCCGAGGGGCCACCGACGAGGGGCGCTGCGCGTCTACTTCCACAGCTCCCCCAGCGGCCTCTGCGTGACGGCCCGGATGGTGTCCACGGAGAGGGCGTGGATCTCCTTGTGGACATCTTCGATGCTTTTGGAGGCGTCGACCATCTGTTCCCACAGGGGAGGCAGGGAGAGAGAGGACGGTTAATGCTTCTCGCCGTTCTCGCTGCGCGCGGGGACTCCAGGCGGGGCTGGGCTCCGGAGGGGCACCCCACGCCGCCAGGGTCCTTCACCCTCCCCTCTGACCTCTGGTCGTGGCTTTGCTCGTGTCCTGAGGACCAAGGCGTCCCGCACTCCTCCCGTGGCCCCGACACAGGAGAAACACCCAGTCCTGCTCCCCATCAGCCCCCTCCCCTCGCCTCCCCACCCCTACCAGTCCAGCTCAGAGCACGCGCAGGGATTGCAGGGCCCGCCCGGCCGCAGCCCTGCCCGGTCGCTGAGCGGAACTCGGGCAAGTTCTGCAAGAAGTCAGGCCTGGGGAGACGGTTTTGTCCTGACACAGCCGGGCTCCTGGGAGCACAGACCCACTCGGCTGTGGAACGATTTCGTGAGGTCTGGTTGCAGGAGTCGGAATGACCTCCTACACAGCCCGAGAGCCCACACCGGTGACACCCTCCTGAAGGCCTTCCAGACTGCATTCTGCACCCTGCATGCCAGGTGTGAACTGGCATACCGGCATGTCTCACACACGTATGAGCTCGCACATGGGGGTACCCCCCCATACATGTAAACACACACAGGCGTACCACACATGTATAAACACACACGGGAAAACCACACACGTGTACCACACACACACACACTGTATAAACTCACACATGGCATATCACACAGAACCTTCTACATCTCTAGTCCTCTGAGGGCCTGGGAACAGACAGCACAGCATCAACAAGCGCCCTGGGTCCCTGGCCACGGATCTAGAAATACCTTTCGCCACAAAAAGCAACCAGGGACACCTGGGGAGGCAACCGATTCTAGAGCTGGGCTGGAAAAATATAGGACAAATCCAAAAAATGTTCACGTGCTGGGGAGCAGAAGTGTAACAGGAGCCGTGGGGAGGGGGGTCCTGTGGGCCAGACCTCGGTGGAACAGACTGCTGGTGGTAAAGCAGGAAAACATGGGTCTGTTCAGATATAGACGTAAAGGTGAACTGAAAACATGATGAGCGATGAGACTCTTTGGTGGTTTTGAAGAATCTCATCACAAAACACGCATTAGTTACAGACGGAGAGTCCCCTCGCAGTGGGGCCCGGCAAGCACCCTGGAGGTGAACGTCACCGGTACGCGCACAGTGGGACATCGCTCAGCCGAAGGGCGGAAGGAGCTCCCGCCGTATGCAGGGACACAGGTGAGCCCAGGGGGTGGCAGGCTAAGTGAAGTAAGCCAGAGACAGACACCGTATGATTTCACGTGTACGTGGAATCTAAACAAACAAACAAAAAGCAGGAAGAGACGCATAAATGCAAAGATCGCATAAACGCAAAGTCAGTTGAGCGTCTGACTTCGGCTCAGGTCACGATCTCATAGCTTGTGAGTTCGAGCCCCGCGTCGGGCTCTGTGCTGACAGCTCAGAGCCTAGAGCCTGCTTCGGATTCTGTGTCTCCCTCTCTCTCTGCCTCTCCCCTGAGTGCACTCTCTCTCCCTCTCAAAAATAATCGTTAAAAAACAAAAATTAAAACAAAACCCAGAATAAAAAAAAAAAAACAAGGCGAAGCGAGGTGTGACTTGTGGGTGGCATGATGCCAACAGAGGAGCCCTGACCACACGGGACTGCACTCTGGGAGCTGCCATCCAGTAAACTCTCCCCGACTCACCCGCCAGGCACCAAATTCCCTAGTTGTGCACAACCCACAAAGGACCGGGGTCTGCTGTGCACAGAAGCCCTGGAGGAGCCCCAGGCCCGCCAGGTGTCTCAGCTCAGCGGCAGGACCGAGGTGCTTTCTGGCGGCGACACCAGGAGACACCCTCACCTTCCAGTTCAGAGTCTTATCCGCCATCAGCTGATGGAAGCGACGCAGCGCCCGCTCCTGGAAGTTCCCGTTCTCATAGCGTTCACGGCCAAACTCTCCCCGGGTGGCGGCCTCTGCCAGCCGTAACTGAAGGAACACCACGAGGTCCGGCTTCGGGAGGCCCACGTCCGGCTGCTTGCACCAGTCCAGGGAAAAATTCTGGCAACAGAGAACCCGACGGTTAGAGAAAGAAGCCATGACAGGGTCGAATTTTTGGTTTCAAAATTCCTAACAAAGGGGGAAAACAAGCTAATGTGTGTCTGAGACAGCAAAGGGATCTCACTTCAAGTCCGGCCCTGAAAGGGATTCTGATTCAGTCTATGTGTGAAAACACAAGACCAATCAAGCAGTTCCCGAAAGAACTGGCGACTGAGCACGTGACTGAATGATGGCGTCGGGAAAGGGCTCCTCTTTGCTAAGGCGACATGATGTTAGTGAGAAGTTATTTTGGGATGTGAACTGAAATGTTCACCATGGAGCTAGTGACGTGCCCGGTGGGTCAGCTCAGAGACCAGAAAGTTCTGAGGCAGGCGATGGTGCTGCTGGTTATCGTCTTCTCTGCTGGTGCTTATGTGAACATTTCTAAATAAAAAGCAGAACGAACGGGCAGCATGGTCACTGCCGTTCTCCCCGTAGAACGACAAGTACATGGCACTGGGCGGGGGGGGGGGGGGGGGGGGGGGGGGGGGGGGGGGGGGGGGGGGGGGGGGAGGAAAATTAATAGAAAACACCCAGACACCCACCATGGAATGGAGGTGCTAATATGCTATCCGAGCAACACAGAGTTCTGACTCTGTGCTCTTCCTCCCGATTAAGAGCCACTTAACCCAGCAAAGAGAGGGACCCTTGCAGTCCTAGAAAGCATTTTATGAACACACGGAGTCTGTACCTGCCACGATCACACTGGGGGCCAGGAGACACTCACCTCCTTGGCACTGGTGAAGGCGACACCAGAAAATGCGTATCTGTCAACAACGAGGGTGATGCCTTGGCTCAACTTCTTCTTAATTAATGGCCTAAAAAACAGAGTGCTTCTGAACCACGGTCCTGGCTTCACAGGTCCAGAGAATATAACTCACCAGTTCAGAAACCCATGCAATGAAGGGATTACTGGGCAGTGATTTGTAACTATTTTTGTTCAGAAAAGATCTGGATCTTCGCTTTAAAAAAAATCTTTTATGTTTATTTATTTACTTAAAAAAAATTTTTTTTTAACGTTTATTTATTTTTGAGACAGAGAGAGACAGAGCATGAACAGGGGAGGGGCGGAGAGAGAGGGAGACACAGAATCTGAAACAGGCTCCAGGCTCCGAGCTGTCAGCACAGAGCCCGACGCAGGGCTCGAACTCACGGACCGTGAGATCAAGACCTGAGCCGAAGTCAGACACTTAACCGACTGAGCCACCCAGGTGCCCCATGTTTATTTATTTTTGATAGAACACAGAGGGGGGAGAAGAAGAGAGAGAGGGAGACACAGAACCCGAAGCAGGCTCCAGGCTCTGAGCTGTCAGCACAGAGCCTGACACGGGGCTTGAACCCATAGACCATGAGATCACGACCTGAGCTGAAGTTGGTCGCCCAACCGACTGAGCCACCCAGGCACTCCTGGATCTTCTCTTTAGAAGATGCCACAGGAGCGTTCCCGGCAAAGCCCAACGTAGAAAAGACAAGTCCACTAAAGCACCACAGACACAAGTGACAAAGACAGATGAGCAAAGGGAGGCTTGGGGCTGTCTGGGTGGGGGCGCAGAGGGGCCAGGCTGCCCTGCTGAAAAGAAGAACCCAGGAGGGCAAAGGAGCAGATGAGGCCAGGAGGAGATACGATGATGCTTGTGGCCTCGAGCCTGAAGGATGAGGACGAGGATGGACAGGTGGCCAAGGGTGTCCTTGACCGGATGATGGCTAGTCAGCCCCCAGCCCTGAGATCTCAGGTAGACAGGCACAGAAGGGAGTAGAAAATGGCTAAATTGCTATGGGAAGTAAAAGAAATCCCTAATTTCCAGGAATGAATTCCTGCATGGAGTGGGAAGGTGCCCCTGGAGGACTGGTGGGTTTTGGCAAAGAGACGGGGAAGGAAGTGCAGGGTGCTGCCCCCATTCTGTGAGGGCAGTGCCACCCAGTCTGTGCCCCCGGACTGTACAGAAGCCAGAAGACAAGTATCTCTGGGAACCAGCAATTGAGTCCATTAAGAAGCAGAGCAAAAAGATGGACAATTAAAGGGCTCGAGGAAATCAGCAGTTTCTTCACATTAGTGCTTCAGAACAGCTCAGGTTAACCGGGCACTCATTCCCAGGCCTGCCGCCCAGCTGTACTTGATCCTCACCTGGATCTACAAGAGGGGCCACCACGGCCACGATGCTGATGAGGCAGCTGTGGCTGAGAGGGGCTGCGCAGGACCAAGGTCACACAACTGGTGGGCAATGGTGCCAGATGTGAACCCGGCATCTGACCGGTCACCCAAGGACTTTCACATCTGACTGAGCAAATGGTAGTGGCTGGAATGACCTGAAGGAGTGGTGCCACACGCAGACCTATGTGCCAGGGACAAGATCACTCACTAGGAAGTGGAGTCAGCATTATTTTTCATTTCTAAGTGGACTTATTTTTCTACAAAGCCACAAAAAGCAAAGTCAGACCAATTATGTCCATGAATTCCAGATGTATTAAAGTTTATAAAAATGATCTCACTTTCTTCTAATACTTGGAGTGGGAAGAGCTTTCCAAATAAGACACAGGTGATCCAGAAGAAAGCAGCGTAGGCTTGCTCATAAGGGGGGACAGCGCAAAGCCGTCAGCAGGCATCTAGCTGCATCTACTGTGGAGTAGCCTTTCTGAAAAGCTCCCCAGAGCGACAGGGAAGTCAGAGCTCTGCAGGCCAGAATTAGGAAGCAAGTTAGGAGGCGGTTTGTATGGGAGGATCCCATTTATTTATGTTAGAAAACAAAACAAGCCCAACAACACAGGTGTATGTAAATGGAAACAAAAGCACCTAAAAGCATACCCCACAGGCACTGTGTAAAAGTTACATGTTGAGGGAAGAGGCTGAGTAAGAGGAGGCAAAACAAAAGGGGCGGGAGAAGGTAAACTGTGAACTTCAGTTACTAATGTGTCAACATCAGTTCACCCACTGTAACAAGTTAACTCGCTGATCTAACCAATAACATGAGAAATGGAGGAGGGGGTAGGGACAGGGGTATGGAGGAACTGACCTTTTCACCAGCTTTTCTGTATACCTAAACCTACCCTAAATAATGTCTATTAATAACAGAAAGGTGGCAGGGCAGGAGGAAGGAAAAGCACTAATCAGTGCTCTTTGGGAACTATGGAGCTCTAAGACCTCGGGTCACGGGGGACGAGCCTGACACTTTTAAAAGTGTCATTACTGGCGTTCCTGCCAACACCCTTCAGAATCAAGAGCTGCCGTTCACCCAGGCTCAAGAAGGAAGAACCACACCAGGAAGGGGCGGCACAAAAGTTGTTTTTACACTTGCTCCCAGCGGTTCGCGGAGAAAAGCAGGTGCACCGAGTGATCTTCCACCTCGCTCTTCTTTTCCAAGTAGGAACTCAGAAGTTTGCCAATTTCAGTTGATCTTTCTAAAAAAAGAGAAGAGGGGGTGACACAAAAGTGAGGACAGACTCTCCACCTGAAGTAGAATATAGCTGGGGCTGAGCTTCCGGTCCCACACTCAAGTCGAACTTTGTTTTATGGTACCACGTGTGTACACAGGTTCACACCTCCCCCTGAAGCCAAGGAGCTTCCCTGAGAAAGGGCAGCAGCGTGCACACACGATGGGACGAAAAATGCTTTAAGAAAAGGAAGTGAGGGCACAAAGTAGTTGTCTCGAAAGAAGTATTCATAAGATTTGCAGACTGATTAGAACGGTATTCAAAAAAGCATTTTACCCTCATTTCCCTACCCATTTCGTAGGCTTTAGGGTGTTTTTGGATAACGTAAGCACTGACGAAATTTTTGTAAGCACTTTGGAGATCAAAAGTTTTACTTTACAAACTAAAAATATCCCATACCGCCCCCGCCCCCCCCCCCCCCCCCCCCGAGAGCAAACAGCTATCCAGAAAACCAAAAGCAGACACTGGGGTACGGACTACACATCAGCGCCAGGACACTGCTGGGGGTGACAGATCGGGTCGTCACCTCGCGACACCAGTCTCCTGAGTGTACGACCACGTCACGACCCCGCTTTAGAGAGGGCCGCCGGGTCGAACGTCCACTACAGACCCACGGAGCCGCACAAACACCAGGCCGAGCGGGACCGCGCACCGTCCGCCCCGCCGGCGCCACACCCACCCGGGAAGCGGAGCAGCTCGGCACGGTGGCCCGAGGCGCACAGCGTGGCCACCAGCTTGCGGCTCTGCGTGCTCTTTCCCGCGCGATCCACGCCCTCCAGCACGATGAGGGCTCCGCGCCGGCCCGCCATCGCGGCGCCTTCCCGCCACCCGCCGCGGTCCCGGGCCGCCCCGCCTTTCAGAGCGCCCATTGGCGGGCGTCCGCGGCGCGCGCTGTGATTGGCTGAAAGGGGCGCGGTCGCAGTGCGCGCTGGGAAGAACCGGTAGCCGCGGCGCGTGGCGGGCCTGTTGAAATATCTGCGTCAGCGGAGCACCGCCCGCGCGCGCTCTGGGATTGACTAAGGTGGGCCGTCTTCACTGCCGCACGCTGGGATTGGCTGCTGGCCCGGGGGTGGGGCGAAGGCGCTCTGGTCGGACACTGCCCCTTCCGGCGGAGTCCCAGTCTCCGGGCCCGGGCTGCGGCCGCTGTGGCCCAGGGCTGCGGGCCGTGCCGCGGACGGACTGAGCTGTCCCGTGGCGGCCGTGTAGTTCCGCGACAGTCGCGGGGAAGCGGTGGCGTTGTCGCTGTTCCTGAGGCCCGGGGTGCACTTCAGAAGACACAGGCGGGCTCTCGGGAGAGGGACGGGGGCAGCTGTTCCGCCGCCTTGTGCCCGACTCCTGCCGTGGGGCTACGGCAAGGGTGGGCGGGTAGCTTCAGGGTGGAGAGGAGCGCCTGGCGTCCGGAAAGCGCCCTCTCCTGTGTGCTGTTGTCATGTTAGGGACACCCGGGCCGTTTGGGGTGCTTCAGGTGAGACTGTGCTCCTGGGGAGTCCGCCGGCCTCGCCTGGTGAGGGCGCTGTACCACCGTCGGGATCCCGCCCTCGCCACCTGCTCGCTTCCCGGGGGGCCCTGCCCAGGTGCCGTCACATGGGGAGCAGGACACAGAAGCTCGGGTGGTAATCGGCTGGGGGCCACGTTTCCCGGAATAGCCTCCATAACTGGATTAGAGATTGAGGATCGGAGGCAGTTGCAGGTAGAATTTTCTAGCGAGCCTCCTGGAGCACAGGCTTCCCTGCTGCAGCCCAGGAGACTGCCGAGGCTTCCGCACCACCCACGTCCTCTGTCGCGATCTCCCTGACTTTTCCCCCCAGGTCTTCGGGTTTGTTACAAGACCCTGATGCCGCTCTTACCCAAGACACCTGGAATAACTTTATGTTTCCCCAACTGACCTTTGCCTGATTTGGTTTTCGGTTCTGGAAAAGGTGATAGATTATATCATCATTCCAAATCGTTTGCCTCATTCCTCGATGTCGATCTTCAGCGTATGACTTCCAACGCTGCTGTAATCAGAGATGACACGCACACTCTGAGGCAGAAGCTTTAAAAGCTGGTGTGTGGTTCATCCATCCCCTCTTTGCCCCCAGTGCCAAAAGAGTTTTTGCATGGTTATGACTCTTTGTTCGTGCTGATCCCAGAGAGAAGGCCTGCAGCCCCTGCAGCTGATGGCACGGCAGGAGTTAAGCCAGCGGGATTCCCTGTCCTTGATCCTGGGATCCCTTGTTACTGCAGCATGGCCTAGGAGGAGCTCACTGATACAAAGGCTGGTGCTTAATGTTCAGGGTGGGGAAGTAACATCCATTTGTTTGGTGTCTCCTGTTCTAAAATGTCCATCTCCTTGCCTTCGAAAGTGTGAAAAGGATTAGAGTGGGGACGAGAACCTTCGCGGGGTCGGCAGGGCCCAGGGTAGCCTTGTGCCACGTCTGCAGGATGAGCTCACCAGGCTGCCGGGGAGGAACGTGAATGCAGGGACTTCCTGGCTGCCGGTGGAAATGGAGGAGCCTGGCTGTTGAGGGTCTTGGGTGCCGGGTGCTGGTGGGGGTGCCCTTTTGACTGCAGAAACGGCTAACCTGGCACAAGCACGGTGATGTTGTTAAGATACAGCAAACAGTGTTGCTTCCATCGCTAAGGACATGTCACGCCTCTCAAATATCAGGATGACTCTAACTGCCCGTGTCAGAATCCCAGCCTCACTGTGGCTTAAATCAGGATGTTTCATTATCTCATATAACTCGAAGTTCAGAGTTAGGCAGCTGAGAACTGCTTCCTTTGCTAGGTGATGTTGAAGGTCAGGTCCACATTTTAGTTCTACTTTTCCCTCATGGTCACAGGGTGACTTCCACCTCTTCTTGCATCCAGTGCTGATCTCATAGCCCTGCGGTGGGCAGAGGGGCACCATTGGCTCTGGACATCGGTCTCCTTTCTGCTCTGCCACGGTGGGGGAGTCAGGTCTCGGGCCTGATTTTCAGCATGGTCTGTCCTGAAGCAGTGAGTCCTCTTCCCCAGACCATGGAGGCCTTGTAGGTGGGCACAGGACATCCACTTCATGGACGACGTTATGCACTTCCAGGTCTAAGTGTGCTTGGAGACAGAGGTGAGATAAAATGGGTTGTAAGTTGAGAGTTGGTGACACTGGCTGATGGGCACACAGAGCTTCTTAGGTCCTCTCTACTCTTAATGTCTTTGCGATTGTCCATTAAAAAACAAAAAGACTTGGGGTGCCTGGCTGGCTCACAGTTGGTGGAGTGTGCGACTTGATCTCGGGGTTGTGAGTTCGAGCCCTACATTGGGTGTAGAGGTTACTTAAAAATAAAATCTTAAAAAAAAAATCACTAAAACCCTTTTACTGTTGCCTTCTCAGGTGTGTTGTACCTTTCACCTCGCAGGATTGTGTCAGACACTGGTGCTATGGAGCAAAGACCCTCTCACTGTGTTAGCTTGGCTACCATATCGAAACACCACAGACCGGGAGGCTCAGATGGCACCAGTCTTTCTACCAGAGGTGTGGAGAGAGATCTCTGGCGTCTCTTCCTCCTCTTAATTACTTTTCCAAATACAGTCACACTGTGGGCTAGGAGTCATCCTATGAGTTTGGGGGGATATTCAGTCCATAGCACTCACCTACTTCCAGAAGACTGCTGGGCACATCGGTGCCTTACCAGACTCTTTTTCCCAGCCCCACTTGCAGTTAGGTGTGGCCAGGTAACTGCCAATTAAACGTGAGTGGGGGGGGCACCTGGGTGGCTCAGTTGGTTAAGTGTCTGATTTTGGCCCAGGTCATGAGCTCACAGTTCGTGAGTGTTGTCAACAAGAGCCTGCTTCAGATCCTTGGTCCCTCTCTCTCTGCCTCCCCCCCAAATAAACATTTAAAAAATAAATAAATGTGAGTAGATACGGTGTGTGCTCCTTGAGACAGCAAACAGTGCTCTCCCTTTGCCCACTGCTCCTTCTTGTTGCAACCCAGCCTTGCCTCTGCTGGGTTGACAAAGCTCCCTGGGGGAGACACCATGCTTGGAGGAATCTGGGCCCCTGAGTGACCCCAGGGAGCATGGTTGCCACATCCTGGACTCTACATTGGGACTGTTACATAAGAAATAAAATTCTGTCTTTTCCAAGCCACTGGATCTTGGTTGGGTTTCTTTATGTCAGAGTAGCTTACTCTTGCCCAAAATGCCCCCCAACTGTTTCTCGATTAGGGGACATTTTGATGGTCACAACTTGGGAAAGTGCTATCTAGTGAGTAGAAGCCAGGGATGCTGTTAAGCATCCTACAGGGCACAGCACAGCCCCCCTCCCCACCTCCACCTCCACAGCAAAGAGTTTTCTGGCCCAAGGTGTCAACAGTGCTGAGATTGAGAAACCTGCTCTTAAGTACGTTGCAGTAACAGTAGACAGGGAGTCATCTCTGATAGTTTCTAAAACAGGGTCTCTGTAAGAGAATTCATCAGCTTTGTCACGTGAACGAAAGAAGACAAATGGTTATCTGGAAGGAGTTACTCTTTTTTTTTAATTCTTAAGAGAGAGACGGAGCATGAGCAGGGGAGGGGCAGAGAGAGAGGGAGACACAGAATCTGAAGCAGGCTCCAGGCTGTGAGCTGTTCGCACAGACCCTGACGCCAGGCTCGAACTCATGAAACACGAGATCATGGCCAAAAAGTGTAGAAACATGCTTAGTGGAGTGTCAGTTGGTATTATTTTCCCTTGGGCAATTCATTTAGAAGTATCAACACTTAGAACATGCAATAGTTTTTGAGCTAGCAATTCCATTTCTAAGAATTTATCCTAAAGGGCTAATAGGACAGTGTGTAAATTAGAGCTGTCCACAACCATTGCTACTCCTCCCATTGAGAGGTGTGTTTAATTCCCCTCCCCTCAAATCCGAGTTGGCCCCAACAATTTGCTCGACCAATAAAATGTAGTGAGGTGTCTTGGGACTTCCAAGGGGCATTCGCAAGTATTGCAGCTTCTACGGAGGCCTGGAGATCTCGGGAAGCCCTGCATGGCCATGTGCGAAGTACTACCACGTGGGACAGCTATGCTGGAGAGGTCCTATGTAAGTGCCCTGGTCCATAATGCCAGTTGAATGCCACCTTCCAGTCACCCCAGTGATCTCTACAGTCTCCCATAGAAAAAAGAATCCCCTGCTTGAGCCCTGCTGCAATGTGTGACTCAGAAAAATTATAAGTGATAATAAAATGGTCCTTTAAGCCACTGTTTTCAGGTAGTTTATTATGCAGGAATAAATAACTGGAACACACAGATACATACAGCCATATGAATAAATGTTCAACAGGGCATTATTTATGGTAATGAAAAATTGAAAACAATCAAAATATTAAACATCTATTGTTAAAATGTGGTACACCAATGAAAATATATCTAGTCAACAAAATGAAGTGGAATTGAGTAAAACACGGCCAGATGTTTGCAAAGAGTATTAAGTTAGAGATGTAAATAGTAGAAAAATGGATAGTATGATTCACCAATAAGAAAACCAACAGCCCAATTTAAAAAATAGGCAAAATTTATGAACAGACACCTCACAAAGGAAGATATACAGATGGCACATATATGTGTGAACAAGTGCTCAAAATCATGTCATTAGGGAATTGCAAAAAAACAAATAACTATTTCTACACACCTGTTAGAATGGCCCAAATCTGGAACACTTATGACACCAGGTGCTAGTGACGATACGGGGCAACAGGAACTCTCATTCACTGCTGATGAAAATGCAAAATGATACGACCACTTTGGAAGACAGTTTGGTAGTTTCTACAAACGTAGACAATCTTACACTTCTTTGTATTTAACAAAAGGAATTGAAAACATGTCCACACAAAAACCTGTATACAAGTGATTATACTATGGGAATGCAAACTGGTGCAGCCACTATGGAAAACAGTATGGAGTTTCCTCAAAAAATTAAAAATAGAACTATCCTATGACCCAGCAATTGCACTACTAGAATGAAATCTTGCCATTTGCAACTACATGGATGAAACTAGAGGGTATTATGGTAAGCGAAATTAGAGAAAGACAAATATCATATGACTTCACTCATATGAGGACTTTGAGAGACAAAAAAGATGAACATAAGGGAAGGGAAGCAAAAAAAATATATAAAAACAGGGATGGGGACAAAACAAGAGACGCTTAAATATGGAGAACAAACAGGGTTACTGGAGGGGTTGTGGGAGGGGGGATGGGCTAAATGGGTAAGGGGCATTAAGGAATCTACTTCTGAAACCATTGTTGCACCATGTGCTAACTTGGATGTAAATTTAAAAAAATGACTATACTAGCTTTATTCATAATTTCCAAAACTTGGAAGCAACCAAGATCTCTTTCAGTAGGTGAATGGGTAAACTATGGTACACCCAGACAATGAAATATTACTCAGCGTTAATAAGAAATGAGCTGTCAAATCACAAAAAAAACATGGAGGTGGGGCACATGTGTGGCTCGGTCAGTTAAGCATCTGAATTCAGCTCAGGTCACGATCTCACGTTTCCTGAGTTCGAGCCCCACGTCAGGCTCTGTGCTGACAGCTCGGAGCCTGGAGCCTGCTTACGATTCTGTGTCTCCCTCTTTCTCTGCCCGGTCCCCACTCGAGATCTGTTTCTGTCTCTGTCAAAAATAAACAAACATTAAAAAAAAAGCATGGAAGAAACTTAAATGCATGTTGCTAAGTGAAAGAAGCCAATCTGACAAGGCTACATACTGTGTGATTCCAACTATATGACATTTTGGGAAAGGGAAAACTATGCAGTAAGATCAGTGTTTGCTAGGGGTTATGGGGAGTGGGGAGAGAGCTGGAAAGGTGGAGCACAGGATTTTTAGGGCAGAGAAACAATTCTGTATATTATACACGTCATTATACATTTGTCAAAACCTATGGAATGTTCAATAGAGTGAACCCTAATGTTAACTATGGACTTTAATAGTAATGTATCAATATTATTTAATTTTTTTAAAAGTTTATTTTTGAGAGAGAGAGAGAGAGAGAGAGAGAATCTGAAGTGAGCCCTGCACCGTCAGCACAGAGCCTGACTGGGGGCTTGAACTCAGGAACCATAAAATCATGACCTGAGCTGAAGTCTGACACTTAACGGACTGAGCCACCCAGGCGCCCCTCATCAGTTAAAATAAATGTACCACAGTAATGCAAATTATATCAGGGCTGTGTGTACACGCACGTGTATGTGTTTAAGGATAAAAGGTATATAGGAACTT